GAGTTTTGTTCAATAAAGAGAGTTTCTATTTTTGAACACACGTGTCCTTTATTTTGTACATCAGGAAGGGGGGCTAGAGAGGGGTAAGTGGAAGGAGGAATGGGGTACGAGCCCCCGATGGGGAGGACTGGGCTGGCTCTGTGGGCTCCTCGGGGTGGAAGCTCTCCTGAAGCCCCTTGATTGACCCCCCTCCCCCTGGATGGCAGCCTGCGGCAAGTGCGGCCAGGCTGAGGGCCGAGTGTTGTGATGTGCCGAGTGTGGGTACTCCGGGCACTCCAAGCCAGGACTGCTTTGCAAGCGGGGAACCCCAAGAACTGTCTGTCCGGGGTGGGGGGGTCGGGTCCCTTTAAGCGCAGCCCTCGGCTAGCCTGAGACAGCATCTCCACGCTCTAAGTTCTAATCTGATGCCCTGCCGGCACTGCTTCCGGCCATCCTTAACCCCTGTTCAGGGTCCACTTAATGTGGACATGCTAGTTCGAATTAGCAAAACGCTAATTCAAAGTAGTTTTTTAGTCTTGATGCGTTAGTTCGAATTAGCGCTGTAGTGTAGACATACCCTTGCTTCAGAATGCAGGGGAGTTATCAGGAAAGCGCAACTGAAATTGCATCTGGCAAGGGATGTGAAGGGTAACAAAAGAGGTTTCTACAGGCATATTAGCAATAAGAGGGTGATCTGAGAGGGTGTAGGGCCCTTACTGGATGAGAGAGGTAACCTAGTGACAGACGATGTGGGAAAAGCTGAAGTACTCAATGCTTTCTTTGCCTCTATCTTTAGGGACAAGGTCAGCTCCCAGACAAATGCACTAGGCAACGCCACATGGGAAGGAGGTAGACAGCCCTTGGTGTGTAGTGTAGATGTAGCCTAAGAGTCTGAGAATACTTCTCTAGCATTTCCTTACATTGGCAATCAAGGGCCTAGGAGGGAGTCCAGAAATTAAACCCAGAGCTATCAGGTTACTGCACGTGGAGATTGGGAGAGATCTCGGATGACTAGAAAAAAGCAAATGGAGTGCCCATCTTTAAAAAAGGGAAGAAGGACAATTCAGGTAACTACAGACCGGTCAGCTTTACCTCAGTCCCCAGAAAAATCATGGAAGGGATCCTCAAGGAATCCATTTTGAAGCCCTTGGAAGAGGGGAAAGTGATCAGGAATAGTCAACATGGATTCATGAAGGGCAAGTCGTGCCTGACCAATCTGATTTGCTTCTATAATGACGTAACTGGCTCTGTGGATATGGGAAAGTCAGAGGATGTGATATACCCTGACTTTAGCAAAGCTTTTGATACGGTCTCCCACAATATTCTTGCCAGCAAGTTAAGGGAGTATGGATTGTATAAATGGACTGTAAGATGGATAGAAAGCTGGCTAGACTGTTGGACACAACAGTAGTGATCAATGACTCAATGTCGGAGTGCCCCAAGGATCAGTTCTTGGACCAGTTTTGTTAAACATCTTTATTAATGACCTGGATGAGGGGTGGATTGCACCCTCAGCAAGTGTGCAGATGACACTAGGCTAGGGGGAAGACGTAGATATGCTGGAGGGCAGGGATAGGGGCCAGAGTGACCTGGACAGATTAGAGGATTGGACCAAAAGAAATCTGATGAGGTTCAACAAGGACAAGTGCAGAGTTCTACACTTGGGATGGAAGAATCCCAAACATTGTTACAGGCTGGGAACTGAATGGCTAAGTAGCAGGAGTAGCAGGGGATTACAGTGGATGAGAAAATGGATATGAGTCATGGAATACTTTGCATCTATCCTTATTAAACTTCATCCTATTTACCTCAGACCATTTCTCTAGTTTGTCCAGATCATTTTGAATTATGACCCTATCCTCCAAAGCAGTTGCAACCCCACCTAGCTTCATATCATCTGCAAACTTAATAAGCATACTCTCTATGTCATCAACCAAATAGTTGATTAAGATATTGAACAGAACTGGTCCCAAAACAGACCCCTGTGGAGCCCCACTTGTTATGCCCTTCCACCATGATTGTGAACCATCAATCACTACTCTCTGAGAATGGTTACCCAACCTGTTATGCTCCCACCTTATAGTAGCCCCATCTAGGTTGCATTTCCCTAGTTTACTGATAAGAAGGTCATGTGAGACTGTCTCAAAGGTTTTATTAAAGTCTAAGTATACCACGTCCACTGTTTGTCCCTTAGCCACAAGACTTGTTATCCTATCAAAGAAAGCTGTCAGATTGGTTTGACATGATTTGTTCTTTACAAATCCATGCTGGCTGTTACTGATCACCTTATTATCTTCCCAGTGTTTGCAGATGAATTTTCTTAATTACTTGCTCCATTATCTTCCCTGGCTCAGAAGTTAAACTGACTGGTCCGTAGTTTCCTGGGTTGTTCTTATTTCCCTTTTTATAGATGGGCACTATATTTGCCTTTTCCAGTCTTCTGGAATCTCTCCTGACTTCCATGATTTTTCAAAAATGATAGCTAAAGGTTCAGATACCTCCTCTATCAGCTCCTTGGGTATTCTAGGATGCATTTCACCAGGCCCTGGTGGCTTGAAGACAAGTAACTTTTAACTATTTTTATTTTAACTTCTAAACCTACCCCATTTCCACTAGCATTTGCTGTGTTAGGCAACCTGTCACCATCCATCTTCTTGACAAAAACCAAAAGAAAAATATTGTTAAGCACCTTTGCCATTTCCAAGTCTCCTGTCATCGTTTCTCCCTGTTCACTGAGGAATGGGCCTGCCCTGTCCTTGGTCTTCCTCTTGCTTCTAATATATTTGTAGGTGCTTAATTGCATTAGAGATGTACTCTGAGGGACCATGATAAGTAAAAAGCACAATTCATTGGAGAAGTTAAATGTTTTATCTGTGTGAACTTACACTAGCTTTATTATTGAAAACCTCTAAACTTTTTTCCTGAAACTGTTACTAAAATTATATTCATTGCTTTCCCCAACAAAACTCCTGTAGAGAAACCCTGCTTATTTACTCCCCTAACTTGAGTCCTTATAGGAGGTAGCAAACCAGTAAGCAGCCCCTTGGGGGACTGCTGAGACACTATTTATATTTTGACATCTAAAAATTGTTTCCTCCACACTCTAAAAATTCTCATTACTACAAACATAGCCCGGGTTTCACTTATGAATTTAAAAATTACAGATTTTCTTTTCTGAAAATTGGATTTCAGTTAAGATATTAGTTGCATAAAACATAATCTGATATTTGTTGGATGGTGCACACCCACCTGACTTTCAGCATCCACAAAATATTTCCTCCTTTCTACAAATAAGAGTAGGGTCACAGACTCAGAGGTTCTTTGCTACAGCATACTATAAACTATTCTTCTGCATTTAGCACTTATTGAAGGAAGACTTACTGTTCACAATGTCACCTTCAAGTTGAAGAATCTGTGGAACAGGTATTGTGAGAACAACTATGTCAAATTGTTCTGGGGACCCTGTTTTCTTGCAGACCTCCCATTTCCCGTCTCTGAGGTAGATCTGTGTTACATGATAGTCATAGAAGACATCTGCATCTGCTTCAAAAAAGAAAAAAAGTTTAATACATACAGTTCTGATTTAGATAGTAGAGAACATGCATGATGTAGAATAACTTCCATTAGTAATCAAAATTAAGGTCCGAGTACTGCAAACAGTTAAGTATCTGTTTTACTTGAAGCACCTAATCTGTCCCATTTACATCAGTAGAACGAATAACATGTTTAACATGCATTCCTAAATATTAGCAGGACAGGGAGTGAATACTTAATGAATTTATAAGTGCAATTATAAAAGATTAGCAATATCAACAGTTGAAAATGCAGATGTGTTAATATCCCGAAATGGAGAGACTGAATAATCATGAAATACTGTAACAATACTCATATTCTTCAGCTTTTCAAAGAAAAACAACAATGATGCTACAAGTTTACACCAGCTCAGTGATCTGCTCCCTAGTCTTTTGTAAACAATTTATAAATGGTATAGCTTTCTATCACAGGTACGTGCTACAAAATATTCATAATTGTTAATAAATCATTCTTTTCAACACTATGCTTCCCAGACACTTGAGTGATTCCCAGATTGTCAAATAAACACTATTTAAAGCAATGCAATACATTAATTTAAAATCCCAAATTCTGGTGAGATACAGTATAGACTCAGGATATGATTCTGCTCCCACAGAAATAAATGGTAAAATTATCATTGTCCTAAAGGTGCGAGATCTGGACTACATATGATAAAACAAAGAGCACAAATATAACTCTGGTCTCTGATTTGGCCAACTCTTAAATGTATGCATAAATTACCCATGCCAGCAGTCCCATTGAAGTTTACAGGACTGCTCACTCAAATGAAGTCTTACAAGACCAGGGACTTGATGTCCTTGGTTTTAAAACTTTTCCAGATTAAACACATTACCCATTTCACAATTCAAGATGTCAGCATGAAATATTTTTATAAAAAAATCTTTAGTCTTTTTCTGCTTCAAATATACTGTATCAAGCCATAGTAATTTACAATGTTAGTATGCCATGCTGCAGTCTAAGGCCACAAAAGGCAACTGTGATCTAGTCTGGTTACCTGCATAATCCAGGCTGCAAAACTCTCACAAAGCAAAAACCTGTTTGAACTTATATCTTCTAGAGGAAAAAAATCCAATCTTGACTTCAAAATTGCCAGTGATAAGAGAATCCACTAAAATTTTGGATACTGTTCCAATAATTAGTATCTTTGTTACTTTGTTTCCTGTCTGAATTTGTCTAGCTTTATCTTCCAACCGCTGGCTCTAGTTATAATTTTGTCTTGTAGATTGAAAAACCCATTGTCAAATATTTTTTCTCTGTGTAGGTACTTATAGATTGACCAAGTCCTTAATTTTCACTTTAAGATAAACATACAAAGTTCCTGGAGTCCATCACTGTGAAGGAAAATACAAAGTTCCTGGAGTCCATCACTGTGAGGCATACTATGCAATCTATTATTCAAGGTCTCACATGTACCAATCCTACACTCAACTACCAGGGTTCCTTGGCCAAAGGGCATGAGAGCAGTGAAGAGACACTGCATTGAGATCTTTTCCCAGAAGATATACTGAACCTGGGGTGCAAAAGAACTTCCTATCACTTTCAACTGATAATAGTTTCAAGAGATGGGAAGGAGCCTGGGTCACTCCTTGTTGATCAAAGGAGGATAATTATCAGAGCTTTTAATTACAAAAGATTTCTGAAGACTACCTGACTCTGTTAAATAATGCTTGACAATTGAAGAGATTCCCTGAGGTGTCACAAAATTGTGAGATCCTTCTTCCATCACCATTCCTTCAACAGGGGCAGTCAGTGGCTTCAGCACACCATGGGTCAAAAGGTCTTCATAGAAGCTAAAAGTCAAACAAAATATACATGCTATGTATCTGCAAGAACAACAACATTTATTGTTAATCATAGCAATTAGACTGGTATAACAATTACGCAACACTTGTCTTCCATAACAGAATCTGGAAGTCCTTTCAGAGGACTGGAAGGAACTTTGGGAGGTCATCAAGTCCAGTCCCCTGCACTCATGGCAGAATCATGCACCATCTAGATAGACCATCCCTGACAGTTGTTTATTTAAGAGCAGGTGAGATATCTACAATGATGGTGATCCCACAACCTCCCCAAGCAATTCATTCCAGTGTTTAGCCACCCTGACATTTAGGAAGTTTTTCCTAATCTCCAACTTAACCCCTCCTTGCTGCAATTTAAGCCCATTGCTTCTTGTCCTATTATGGAAGTTTAAGGAGAATAATGTTTTTTCCTTCTCATTGTAATAACAGCTTTCAAATACCTACAAGGTTATCATGTTCATTGTTTCCTGTCACCTGTGCTCTTGTGCAGCTGCTCAGGAGAAATTCAAATGCTGCCCACCAGATTAGCAGAGTGCTCACAGCCAGGTTTTTGTTTCTGCTTGTGATGCACTTTCACACATGCCTCTGTGCACATAAAAATTATTCTGAATAGATGGAAAAGATTAAAGTGAGCAGTGATCTTGTCCCCTCTCAAGCCTTCCCTTTTCCAGACTAAATGAACCCCATCTTTCTATTCAGTCTTCCCTCACAGGTCATGTTTTCTAGACCTTTAATTATTTTTCATTTTTCTTCTCTGGACCTTCTCAAATTTGTCTATGTCTTTACTGAAATGTGAGTCCCAGAACTGAGGCCTAATCAGAACAGAGTAGAACAGAGAAATTACTACTCGTATCTAGCTTACAACAGTATTACACTGACATCTTTAGCTTGTGGTCCACTATCATGTGTAGATCCCTTTGTGCAGTAATCCTTCTAGACTGTCACTTCCTATTTTGTATGTGTACAACAGATTGATTCTTCTTAAGTGGAGTACTTTGCATTTGTCCTGTTGAATGTCATCCTATTTACTTGAGACCATTTCTCCAGTTTTTCCAGAATATTTTGAAGTATAATCCTATCCTCCAAAGCATTTACAATCCCTCTCCTGTTGATATCATCCACAAACTTTATAGGTGTACTTTCTATGCCATTACCTCAACATCTTCATTAATGATTGAACAGATCATACATAGTTCAGCTTCAGTTGAGCATGTTTAGTATGGCTACGTCTACACTGGCCCCTTTTCCGGAAAAGGGGCATGGTAATTTTTGAAATCGCAATAGGGAAATGCGCAGGGGATTTAAATATCCCCCGCGGCATTTAAATAAAAATGTCCGCCGCTTTTTTCCGGCTTTTAGAAAAGCCGGAAAAGAGCGTCTACACTGGCCCCGATCCTCCGGAAAAAGCGGAGGAAGTAGGAATAAGATCCTCCGGAAAAGGGCGCTTTTTCCGGAGGATCGGGGCCAGTGTAGACGCTCTTTTCTAAAAGCCGGAAAAAAGCGGCAGACATTTTTATTTAAATGCCGCGGGGGATATTTAAATCCCCCGCGCATTTCCCTATTGCGATTTCAAAAATTACCATGCCCCTTCCGGAAAAGGGGCCAGTGTAGATGAGCCCTATTAGTATATTTATGTAATTGTTAGAAATACATTTTCTCACTACTTCATAAGGATAGGTCTCTTACAAGGGAAAGACAATATTCTCACCTAGCTCTCCCCACTACAGTTCTGTTGGAAAGTTTCATATCAACTGGAAATTCCAATTCACTATGTCAGGAAGATAAATGATGGTGTCTGGAGCTAAAAGTATTTGACTGACTGTTCACTTTTCCTCTAATGTGAAAACTCTAGGTGATGTCAGAGATAGGTAGTGAGTATCTTCCAACAGGTACAATTTTGCTTCCTTTGGTATTTATAAAAGATGTCCATTGCAGTTTATCATTAATTACCTTTCATCATATTGTCAGCTCCCTAATCCAACGCCTAAGGATTTATTCTAATATTTCAAACCAATAAGCAGCTAGTCACCCTTATTTTAAAATTGTTTGAATCTTTCTCCCTCCCCCCCCGCAAATATTACCATGGCCTAATGACAAATTTCTTTAGCTGTAAAGGCATACTATCCTTAGAGCCTGATATTTCACAGTTCCAAAAGGCAAGAAATAAAAAGTTTAATGCCATTGGAAATCAACTTTTCCAACTGGATCTAGACTATCTGCCTTAAGTTTTCCACTGTCTCTATCACTATATCTACGTACTTCCCCAGAACATTAGGCAAGTTTCCTAGTAGACTTTGAGACTTCTGTTTTTCACCATACCTAGTAGTCAGCTCTGTTTTGATATAGACATTTGTATGGTTTTGCTCTTTCACTTCTCATGCCCAATTTGGAATGATGGAAGGCATTGTTAGAAAAGTTTCGCAGTGTGTTAAAAGCAGTAAATCTCTGGGTTAGCTTCCAGAAGAGATCAGGCTTTCTCCACAGCTTAACCTCCTCACTTTGAGAATGATTTGCCTCTCGCTGTTTCAGGTTTGCTTTTGTCCTGAGCTTTTTGAGCTGTGGTATTTTGGTTTTGCTTTGTTTTCCCCAATTGTTAATGATTCAAAGCTCAGGTTCTCTTTCTTTGACAGCAAGTGGACAGTCAGCAAGGAAAACCTAAGGCTTTGAATTAGTAATGGAAAAAAAGTAGTTGTCATTGGAGGTAGCACAGCAGAGAGGTGATGTACTTAAGGCAATCTGCTCCATTGAGGAGGCAATGGAGTCCCTGTACTGTTGCTATCTTCAGATACAGTGAATAATTTCTCTGCATGGATCTCTATGACCAGATCATCACCTGGGAGGACAGTGAAGAGCCACTGTGGGGGAAAAAAAAGCATTTTTTTCCATTTACACTTTGGAGATGCAAGCTAGGTGCCAAGTCAAGCAGGTCCACAAGATAATCAATAAAATGAATACCTCTGAATGAGAGAGAAAGACATCTTAAATATATTCAACAAGCTATCATATAGAAAGAAGTATAAAACCATTTTAATGACTTGTGACATGATGCATTTTTTTAAAGATAGGAAATATTTTTCAGAGAATAAGCTATTGCTAGTCTGATTGCACAGGTCATTATCATAGAATACTAGGACTGGAATGTACCTCGAGAGGTCATCGAGTCCAGTTCTCTGCCCTCAAATTATGTAACTCTAAGGTTTTGATTTTTTTTTTCTTTTCAGTACCCTAAAAGAAAAACTGGACAAATTCTAAATGTCTTTCACATTTAATGCCTCAGACTCCAATAAGAATATAGACAGTATATAAAATGAGGAGTCGGAAGAATTTGGCTTAGAACTCTGCAACCTGAGCCAAACTTAATGGGAGAAATGTGGGGTCCGGTTCTGATACAAGAACAACCATACCTAGTAGGGGACCAGTTCCAATACAAAATCAGCCAGACTTGTTTGCTTTGGCTCTCCTCCTTGATCATGCTGGCCACCTCTATTTTTGTACACTGTGCTGTGAAGTGAGGAGATGTCTACACTTGATCAACGCACGTGTTGTCACTCACAAGTGCTTACTCCCCCTTCCCCCTTGTGACAGGGCGCCTGCCCTGCACTGGCCCTTTAAGACCAGGACACAGGCCCTGAGCCGGGGCTGGGAACAGAGGGGCCAGCTGAAGCTGTTAGGCCTAGTGAGAGCCCAGCTGGCAGCTATCTAGTGCAGCACAGTTGGCTTGGAGAGGCCAGCTGAAGCCATTAGGGCAAGTGAGGACCCAGCCGGCAGCTATATAGAGAAGCACAATTTGCTTAGAGGGGAGAGCAAGTGAAGAGCTGACTGCAGAGGAAACAGGCACTCCCAGGAGGGAGACCAGCTGGAGAAGGGCCAGCCAAGACTCCCCCTGGCTAGGGGCTGGAGGCAAGGCCCAGGGTTTGGAGGCAGATCACAATGCAGCCTAGGTAAGTGGGGTAGTAGAGATAATGCCAGTGATGGGCAACCCATACAGACTGTAACTTGCCCTGAGAGGGGCTAGATGAGGACAGTCAGGGGGCACTGAGGCATGGTGGGAGGCATAGGACCTGACACTCCTCCTCCTCCTCCTCCTCCAAATGAAGGACAAAGTTTTGCTGTGGCTAGTGAAAGTGAGAACGCTGCTTTGTCAGAAAGACCACTCTGTCAATAAAGCAAAATCTCCTTGTAAGAATGAAAGTATTTTTTCTGGCCTAAATGCCAGCAAACAGCATTCATATAAACTGATTCTTAGCAACAAAGCTGTACTGACACAACTTTGTCAGTAAAAGCTGTCAAACAGCATTCATATAAACTGATTCTTAGCAATAAAGCTGTGTTGACACAACTTTGTCAGTAAAAGCTGCATAGTGTAGATGTTCCCTCAGTGTGTAGGACTGGTACAGCCTCTCATTCTGAAGTGCACGCATGCTGCTGCCACTTCACCAACTCCTGGATCAAAAGGCAGCCGTTTTGTTTCAGGTTTAGAAATGGGCAAAAAGGCTTGGGTTTGGATCAGGGCCTAAAATTTAGGCCCAAGCAAATCTCTAATTTGGTCCTCAGTATTCTATTGTCATCCAAAAAATATTTCCTTTGGTGGTAGAGATGTGAGTAGTCAATTACTTGACTATCCAATAAGCCTAAACTATTCGACTATGTGCTCCGCCCACCTTGCAGCCACTGTATCAGAGGCAGTGGGGAGAAACAGGAGCAAGTGCTGGGGGCAGCCATCTTAAAAGATGGTTCACCCCAGCACCATCTCTGAAGTGCCACCTGCTCCCCTTCTCCCCCTCCCCCCCCGTGGCTGCCTCTATCAGAAGCTGCAGCAGGGATGGGGGGGG